TTTCATTTGATAAACACGTTTAGATTGAATGGTAATTTATAATCAGTCACAAGAACGTCGAATCTGAATCACTTGAAAAAAACACGGGGTGCTTAACTTTTTTCCAGGTGTATATGTTTATTTCTCTCATTATATTAAAATCATTTAAATGTTTTACCTCAAAACATTGAAACTGAATTAAACAAAAACATTATGTATATTATTAAGAGTTTTATCCTAACTTAAGTAACACACGTTACAAGACCATTCACTATTACACATATTTAATTATCACTATCAACAACAGAGTTTCTCATGCCAATGTTACAGGAAGCCTTTTGTGTACATCATTAAAATCTTAGATACAAAACAAGTCGGATCTTTAGAAGTGGAATCCTTTGAAAATTTTTTCCAGGGAGCCACCTAGGCAGCAAAACTGATTTTAAATGTTTTTTTCAAAACCTAAGATGTATTTTATTGACGCCTATCCAACAGTTTTTATGATATCTGATTTATTTGTACAAGGCTAACTCTGAAACTAAAAAAAATAACAACTACTTTCAAGTTATTCATTTCCTATTTTACAGTACCTATCTACAGTGACTTAGGTTATGGTCATGTGAGCTAAGTAAATGTTTGAAATCAAAATTCAGCATTGAATTTAAGAGTCAAATGGAGGTTTCCGTCCATAACTTTCATTCTTCTCTTTTCTTACAGATAATCTTGGTAATTTTAATTTGATTTGAGGGTCTTTATGTGATTTGGAAGTGTAACATGTCCACATCATCAATTCCTTGTGCATAGAGAGATCATAATGCTTTCCAAAGGACATCAATCTTCTAGTCATTGTTAGGGATAACTGTGCAAGCTTCAACTTTCCTGACTTTCACAGTCACCTTTTTTTACTAACCATTCAAATCTAAACTTGTTTTTAACTGATTTGTCGACATTTTTAAGCACCGATTCTCAGCATTTAACAACACACATGTGGGATACGTTCTCCATAAATGTTTTGGTTTTGAATTTTCTTTCATAAATAAATACACATATTTGATACTGCCACACATGCTTGCTTTGTTGTTGTTGTTGTATAATCTTGGTGCATTTTATATCTGTTGACAATTATGCAATTTTCACAATAAGAGGGCTTTAATACTTTAATTTTTGAAAGGATAGTTTTTAAAGCTTTAGAAAATGCATTGTTAACCTGGAATTTTATGTTATTTGGAACTTTGTTTATGATGACAGATTTATACAAGGTCAAAATACAAAAATCTATGGAAAATTGATATGTCTATACAAGAGATACTCAACACTACTGATATCACTGCATGCAAGACCAAACAAAATCTTAATCTTTATTATTTTTCGCATGGAATTAAAGAAATAATCTTTACATAGTCAGAAACTCAGCGCTTGGATGAAAACATCAGTATTGCCAGGATCAAACCTCTAACCTACAAGTTTAAATGTATTTTATGCACTGTTTTAAACTGAAAATTGGCATTTATATTGTCTGGACAATGGTTACAAATATGTTTTGTCTGACAAACTATTACATAAAACAGGATTATAAAAGTAACAAAAACTACAATAAAAATGGACAACCACAGAATCTTCCTTACACAGAAATGTCAAAGAAAGGAACATATATCATAAGAGCTCCATTCTTTAGATACTTTTGGAAGATCCAAATGAAGTATGAGGTATCACACACAAAATGTATTTAACTGGGGCAATATAAAGGAAGACTGGTCATGGTGGGAAATCAAATAAAACGTCCAAAAATGTAATATCAAGTTATAACAGTTAAGATATACAAAAAAAAAAAACTCAAAATCTATTGAATGTACTTCTAAAAAATATCATACAAATCTTTAACAAGTTCCGTTCTTTTACACTATCTGTTAGATAGAAATTATGAAATTCTTTACCAGGAACTTTTAACATTTCCTTGTGAATAACCTGAAAGGTAATGCAATATTTAAAATATAAGTCTTTTATTCAGCTAACAAGAGAAGTACAAGTCAAGAAAATGGAGACCTTAGTTATTATTTGTATTTATCATAAGTCATTAAAGATGGACAATCAGCTCAAAAGCAACTGCGGAAAACTGAGTAAGTATTAAATAACTATACATAATTAATCACCTATTACATTAACCATATTTAGTGGGATATTAGTCTGACCAGTATTCCAAATTCTTCATAGAAGATATATTTCTGACTTTATGCAAATGTTCCATAATCTGTATTTAATCTTTTTTTCATCTTGAAGTATAACATCTAATAAACACTAGTTCTAGCAGAACTGATAATCGTTACACATATAATTCCCTCATTATTACTTTCTTCAATAAGTCTAATTCTAGTTTATTTATTTAGTTATTGTTCTAAAGAAGTAGCTTCAAGATTTAAAAATATCTCATTACAAACATTTTATTAAAGTGCATTATAATGTAGATATAAGGTCCTATGCAGATTTCTTTATACCAAACACAAGTTTCAATTATAATCATTATTAAATGGTACAGAAAGTTTACAAGACAGGCAATGAGCTACATGCTTGTTATTAAGAAAGCACAACAAGAATAAAAGCAAACACAGACTACTGTTACATTAAACATTTTTTTAAGTCTTTAAGCTTCGTAGTTTCTTGCTTAAACTGAAGAATCTCTTTTTTGCTACTGCTACAAATAGACCTCGATGAACTAGTAAATTAAATACTGAATGAAAACAATGCACGAATCAAAAATCTTAAATAAAATAATATCGTCTTTTATATTCCTTTTGATGCCTAGTTTATCTGTGCAATGTAACTGAGGTTATTGAACTGTACCTTACTTCAATGTTTGTCAATGACTTGCTTCTTTCCTTTCCAAGTCATATATAAAACGACAGTTCAACTTGTATGCACACATTACAGTTTGCACCATCTACCTTCATTATTCTCGACTTTTCTACTTCATGTGTTCTACCATCTTTCATCTTCTGTCCCTGTATCGTCTATCTCCACGACTGGGAGGACGTGCTGTTCGTCGCAGAAAATCATCAACTGATCGCTCATACTGAGGTGAAAAGCAAAAGTTAAAACATACAAATTCTGTGTTCTTCAAAGTTTTACAAAGATATTTCAACACAAGCATTTCAACAATCATTCTTAAAATACACTTATGTAAATTTTTTATAACATCTTATTCACTAGTTAAGTTTACACACAAGACATTCTTAAACTCTTTTGGCAACAAATACTGCATGTTGTCTGTAAATACAACTTATGTACAACAGAACCAGTTTAGTCCTTACATATAATATCTATCACAGCATAAAAAGACTAACAAAAACCAAAACCCAACCTACACTACTCACAGCTCTCTTGTCCACACCTCTACCTCGAGATGGACCATAGTCTGGAGGATGAAGAGATCGATCATAAAAAGCAACAGGATCAACAGGAAATGGAGGCTGAATAAACATAAACAATCAAGGGATTAATTTAACTATGCTTTTTACCAAACTTGCTTACTTTTAAGTATTGTGGCATGAAACATATCATATTTCTAGAGGATATTCACAGGCATCACAGAACAACTTTTAATTAAAAGTAAGGCACAACTAGGGTTATAGTTTTTTCAAAATGTACAGCTAAAACAGAGCAATTTGTAAACACCACCAAAGCCTATCAGTATTAAATAAATGAATGTACTTTTAAGTTGCTTTAATACACAAGTTGACTTTTCATCATTCACCTGATTCTTGGTACTTCACTTTCAGTCAGTGCTGTTGATCAAACCAAGATTTTGTAGATTTGGTTTAATCATGTGGCAGTACAATTCCTTTTCTCAAAATCAAATTAACATTAAACTACATTTTGATTAAATACTCCTTACTGCTTTCCTAGTGTTTCAAACAAAGCAATGGGGGAAGTAGTTTTGTGCTATATATATAGGCTGGTACAAGGAGGACTTAAATACTAAGAATCCCCCAGATAGCTCTACTAGAATAATGAAATGTAATCTAAAACTGTACCAACCTTCATTCTAGAATCTTTGAATTACGAACACCAACAACAAAATACCGGTATCTGGAAAACTGATTTTTCTATGAACTGGAATAAATATCTATGAACAAATATAATTTTCTTTAGCAAACAAAAGTACAGTATCCACTACAAGGATCAAACCCTGCATTGTAATGTTATATATTCTAGAGTTCACTCACTGCAGAGGACTTTGATTTCAGTAAAGAAAAAAAAAGATTACTGTAATTATTTTCTTTTTCATTACAAATTTATATATTAAACAACTTACAGCTGCTCCAAATGGCATAGGTGGCATTGGTGGTCTCTGAGGGTGATATTCCCGTATGTAATCTGGAAATCCCTACATATAAAATGCAATGTCTGATAAAAAATTATTCTTCATACAAATATTTTGTATTACAAATGCTTTTCAAATTAAAAAAAGATCAAAAATGAAAATAATTATTCTCACAGCACACATGAAAAAAGGGTCCTGGTGATATAAAAGTTTCAGTTCTTAAAATGTACCTTACTACCAGTAGCTAGTGAATTAACCCATTAGCTAAGTATGAGAGAGGTCCCAGGTTTGATCATGAGCCAATGAAGTTGGATTGCTACAAAAAGTTAGCACCCAGTTAGTGGTTGGTTGTTCTGCAACACTGAGACAAGGACTAAGGACATGCTTGGTTTGTGAGAGAGGAAGAATGACATAGTTTAAGTTGTTAAAATTGAAGGTTGCCTCTCTAGCTCAGTTGGTAGAGAACCTAATTGGAGTGCAGGAGGTCTTCAGTTTAATGTTGTGCAGAAGAGATGCAAAAAGTTTAATTACCACAATATTAAATGGGACATAAAAAAAAAAGATTTTTAATTGGAAAGACATTTCTTCTCAAAAACAAGAGTTTAAAAAGACAAGGTATGGATGGCTTCACAAATACATATAAAGAACTTTACTCCATCTGAAATCCAAATTAAATACTGAAAATTTTCAAAAAATCACAGTGATATGAATTCCTTTTTTTTACACCAAACAGGTACATTATAAAGAGATGTTCATTTCGAAAGGAAAAAAAAAAAAAGCATTCTTAATAGAGAGGAAAAAAAAGTTATGATATTAATAATGATGTACTGACAACTCAACATGAATCTCATAAAGTCCAAAATACAAAAGTATAATTGATAATACCTTTAACTATGGATGATGCTAATTAAAGCATTAATTTATACATTTTTATTTATTCATGACACAATCTGTACACTGTACATGTTGCCTGATAACGTGTATCTCTTAAGTAGTACATGTAGTAACATTTAGTATTCTTCCAACCTTCAATATTTATGAAACCAATAGGTATTTGGATGTAGTTTAATGAAAATGACACAAACCATTTTACTTTACTGTCTCATAATGCACAGTGCAACACAATATACAGTTATACATGCATATGAACTTACCCCATTCATAAAGATATCCCTTCTCATTCCATAGCGGTCCATTGATGATCTGTATTTCAAAGATAGTTTCATTTATTTAATGAATCATTCTGATGTTATGGATGACAAAGCTATTTTATTACCTAAAGATAAACATTGTAACCAACATCGAGGTCAGCAAGATATGTTCAAATTTTCAAATATAATATACTTCAGTTTGTTCTTTAACATGACTTCACTACACAAACTTCCAAGAGGTAAATGAGGCTGGAATCTATTTAAGTTATACTTTACTACACTGGAATTTATGTCTTGACACATGAACTAAGCAATGACATTCAAATATTCTTCATTAAATAGTTATTTTAATGTTATAGAAAGCTGAATTTGATGTGTTACATAACTTAACATCACATTGAACTGATAATCTTATCATCAGATCAGTCACATTGTTTTTGTTACTTAAACTGAAAGAATTATAACAATGCAAATTAAGGCATGACATCATTAAGCAACGATCTGAAAAATTTAGTCTTCCTGTGTAAAAGAGATTATCTTCCAAAAAGGTGCAAAAGTTTGTTTGTTTGTTTGAAGTTATGCACAAAGCTACACAAAGGGCTATCTGTGCTCTGCCCACCACGGGTATCGAATCCCGGTTTCTAGCATTGTAAGTCCGCAGACATACTGCTGTGCCACTGGGGGTGGGTGGGTGTGCAAAAAGTAAAATATGCTTTTTATCAGTGAATTACAGTATTTCACATGATTTATTATATGCTAAAATTTTCATGATGATATGAATAACATCTGGAAGGTTGATTAAAAAAATATTTATAACCAAAATAAAAAAAAGGGATACAATATTCAGCACCCCCTCTCTATTTTTTTTTCTTTTACTAGAGTCTATAATAAGTCCCAGAAGAAATTATCTAAAAAAATATCTGATAATAAAACAAATTTAACTTACCTCTCTTTCCTAGTGTCCTTAATGAATCCTGGAACAAAAACATTATCTATAAAATAATAACTTGAATCAGTAAATGAAATACTGAAAATGAATTTTTTTAAATTATAAACCAATTTTAATTTGTCTAAACATATTTTTTTTTAATATAAGAAATCAAAGAATCATAAAACTGTTAAGGTTGTTACCTGGGTTACATACATTCTTAAAATGTTTCCAAAACAGTGAATTACGAGTGTTCACAAAGAAAATTGCACTGAAATATTAGTGACTTTTATACAAGTGTATTTAACTATATATATATATATATATATATATATATATACGTAGGTAAAGTAAAAAAAACTAAGACCAATACATACAAGTAAAGGACAAGAAACTAGAGTAATTAAAAATTTAAACTATTTTCGTACCTCACGA